TTTAATCTTTCTTATTCAAATTAAATGAAGTTCTCTTACATTGTCCCTGAAAAAATATCCTAAATATTATAATGTTTCTGTATTTAATTATTATTAGTATTATTTTAATTATTATTTTACTGTATTTAGAGTTATATATATTTTTAGTGTTATATTTTTATGTTATACCTCATTGTCATCTGCTTTTCTTTTTCTGAATGTTTCGTTAGCCTTATACAATTGAATGAGAGACATTTTTCCATCTTTACGTTTTATATCATGTACATTATCAACTATTAGATATGGTGGAATAGCTGTAAAATTAATTTATTTGATTGTAAATTTTAATGTAGAACTCAAGAGAAAATGTTATTGTTGTTATTGTTGTGTTATTGTTATTACTTATATATACATTTTTTTTTAATTAAAAATACATTATACTTACATGAATTTTGCATGGTTCCTGTAATTTCAACTTTGTCTCCTTTGTTATACTTCAATGCTGAGTATTCTTTTTCGTTGAAATTCGTTATATGTGTTTCAAGTTTATAGAATCCATCTGAAACTGACCCGCATCCTATGTGCTTGTTGAATTTGTGATGATATTTTGTTATAAAATTCGTTTTAATATATGCTTCCAGAACTATTACAAATATACGAAAATATATTATTATTTTGCATTATGACATTATATTTTTTGTTACCTTATTAAATTGTTATATTATTATAATTGTTATTGTTATTACTTTTATTGTTATTATTATTATTATTATTTATATACATAAATTAAAGGAACGTACAATTGAAAACCATAAATAACTGTATTCAAACTTATATTAATTAAATCTACACAAAACTTACTAATACGATGCGAGGTGTTCATAACTTCACTTAATTTTACATAATGTGGTTCAGTTTGCTCCAATTTTGAATGATAATTCCCTAAAGTAGTAATTACTGTTCCTCTTTGAATTAATAATTCAAATTCGACATTTCCTTGATTAAATTTTTCATTTCTAGGTTTTCTTGCCTGCGCTCCATCCAAATGAACAATCTATTCAAAAGTAGTTTAATTTTATATTATCATTATTTAATTATATAAAAAAGCAAAGATAAAATTAGAAATCGTTTTTTTTCAGTCCTTATTTCCTTATTTCCTTATTTCCTTATTTCCTTATTTCCTTCCTTATTTCTTCCTTTCTTTCCTTCTTTGCTCGTTTCCTTGGATTTGTTTATTCACGTTTAAAATATTGTAAGATGTTATTTCCCTATATTTCCAATAGGGAAATGACATCATGTCTCATGCTTAA